GGGTTGTAGATAATGCAATCAAAAGTGAAACAAATAAATCTCAAATTGTAGAAAATATCAGATTAAAAACAATCAATTCTCGGTTCAAGATCCACCTAAACATGCATTGTATATTAACTAATCCTAACATTATTCTATCTCATTATTATGGAATTATTGACCCTAGGAAACAACAAGCTCTGCTACACGAATTTTCCCTTAACTGTCACTACTGAAACAAGCTCTTCAATTAGATCCTAACCTTTGAACAACCTAGAATAAGCTCTCTAAGTTTAATTCAATGGCAGCCTTAAGAATTAGGAAAATAGATCAATCCAAGCAACAATCACGCAAGTTCGGATTATTTAACTTAAGTTATGTTATTCAAGACAATAGACTGAAAACTTGTCCATAATCATCTATCATCATGTGTTACTCATTGAATAGAAAGAGGACAATTACGTATCACAATTCTTAATTCTAACAGATAAAATTCTGAATAAACAATTTAGCAGGCCATTACTAAATCACCCAAACAAAAATCATAAACAATTAAAACAGAATAACATAATAAATTCCAATAAGAATGAGATTAAGAACAATGTTATTGAAGTTAAGTTACACCAATAACATGAATTCAGGCTTCAAAATCCCCTTGAACTGAAGAAGAAAGATCAGCCACACATCTTGACGTAGAAAGTGAAAACTTAGAAAAAACCTACTGCCCTTCTCTTTTCTGTTTAACCTAACAACTCATAAATAAATAATGTCCTTTTTTTACTCAATTCTGCCCCAGGAAAAATGGAAATTACTTTCCTAAACCTTTCCTAAATGATAGACTTCCAAAACTGTCAATCCTTATCAGATATGGAAAACAGATTTCGTAATCCAGTTTGCACCAGGATTCTCACAAAGTAAAAAGACCTTTCTGGGCTTGGTCACTTTATAAAAGTTGTAGTTCTGGAGTGTAGATGAATCTGGGCTTTTGAATCACCTGCTTTCAATATTTGAAGCTCCAGTTAGGCCCATTCAAAGACTCAATACTCAGCCAAGAAATCCTTTTGCGAATAGGATTCCAGGTCCGGTTTTGAAACAACTAATGATGTCCCAAACGAACTCGGATTCTCGCCTATAATACCTTCCTGGAAAGCTTTTCGTCTACTTTATGTTTTCTGAAGAACACTTTTGCAATCGAGAAATCTGACTCTATGAAAAACTTGAAAAATGCAGCACTGGTCAGAATAACAAAAAATCTGGAATTTCCTAATCTTTTCTCAATTATTTCATAAAGGTTATCCAATTATGCCAAACTTACAAAATAAACTCTAATCAACTCTACTAGGCATAAAGCATAACAAAAAAACATAATATGGAAGGAATATAAATATATAAATTACGCTCTTATCAGGGGTCCTCCTCCTCAAAATTTTCATTTTGCCGCCCATGACCAACCTCTTCTACAGTGTCCTCCTCACCACCCAATTCACCGTCTACTCTTGATTTTTCAACTAACAAATCAATGCCCTCATAGTTCAAATTAAAACAAGGCAAATCTCTGCGAACTTCCTCGTTATCCCTTTCCTTTGAACCAACTTCCAGTGGTTTTCCTACAATAGAAACCCTTAAAATCGGCCTTGAACCATTATCGGCCATATCAATCATATATAACTTCACACTTTCATCCGACTTTAATATAGCAGGAGGTACCTTATAATGTTCAGGAACTCTGCTTAAAACATACTTCACAACTATATCACTACGTGAGCAACTCAAATTACCTCTTCTAATTATTTCATCAATCAACTTATCAAAACTAACCTTTGTGCTCACAGCAATTGGTATAACTTCTTTGCTCTTCCCAATCCACTTCCACCTACTTTCTTCCTCCACCCACTCACCAAAATATTCAACACCCAAAGCAACTTGACCCATGTCTAATAATAGCCAACTACCTATAATGCAAGAAAAAAAAATATTCTCAACTGATGTACTAAGGGTTGAAATATTTTAAAAAGCATTTGTACAATCGCTTGACAGATTTGGTGTATCGCTTAAGCGATCTGATATATCGTTTACTAGATCGCTTAAGCAATCCAGTGTAAATAAGCATGATCGCTTAAGCGATATAATGGATCGCTTAAGCGATCCAATGTAAATAAGCATGATCGCTTAAGCGATATTATGCCATTTACTGATTGCTTAAGCGATCTGCTGCTATACACCAGACTTTTAATAGATCGCTTAAGCGATCTTATGCCACATACCTGATTGCTTAAATGATCTATTTGCTGCATTACCAGACGTACCAAATCGCTTAAGCGATACACCAGATCGCTTAAGCGATCCATCATATCCAGAACACGTTTTCAGTCATCTCCACCTACAATCGGTGCTACCACCCCCAGCTACCCACAATGCAAGAAAATTTTCAACAAATTCCACTCCTTTCAACTTCCATTACATCAAACACAACCCAACAACCTAAACAACTAAATTAAAATCATAACCAAACCCAATCCATCATCAAATCTTTGTAATTCGAAATGGAAGATACACATACCTGCACGAAATTTCAGGAGGAGGAGGAGGAGGAGGAGGATATGTGTTGGAGAAGATGTTAATGGTGGAGGAATGCGTTAATGTGGCGAGAGGAAGAAGAAGAAGGTGTTTGGGTTTGTTTTTGCAAGATTTTCGACTCTTTGGAGACTTATTATAATTTTTAAAAGATTACACAATTATTCATTAATCCTAATCAACCCCCTAATTATGTTTAATTAAGCTTAATAAAAAAACAAGGCCATTTAGTTAAAATTTACAAACTATATAGCCTTTTAATTAAATTTTAAGTTAAAAATGGTGTTTTAATAAAATGCCCCTACAGATTTACAAACCTTGGGTGGGTACATGTCATTTACTCAACATAGCAATAACTTCACCTTCCACACTGTGATTTACAAATTTTTTTGGCTTGTAAGATATTTAATGGATCCTAGAGATTATTTGAAATGCGCACAAATGGCATGAATATCCCAATTAACAAATAATAATAATAATAATAATAATAATAATAACTTCCATATAATCCTTAAGTCAAGGGTGTTATATACAAACTTATTAATTAAAATTAGTATAAACATAAATAATGATACATGTACACACTTATTAATTTAATTTGACGTGTTATAATATATTATAACACAAGATATACCTGATTTCTCTCACATTTTATTTTATTTTATTTCTTACAGATCCAGGACAACATAAGGAATTGCATCTTTCCCATTGTGGCACTAACTGAGTATGAATTGATGATTTTGTGCATGTTCCATTAACGAAACCTAATTTATTCTTTGCACATAGAGAAACAATCATAGCTCTACTCCATAATCCATAGTTTTATGTTCCTACATGCTGTTCAGAAACAAGAACAGTACCTGGTGTATCAGAAGGATGAACATAGAGAGGAGAGTTTGTATCGATCGAAGGAACAACTGATTCTTTAGTGGAGGATGTCATTATCGACATTGAATTCTTAGCAAATCAAGCTAGAATGAAGAAACTGAGAAATTTTAAGCTCTATATAGCTTAGCAAAGATCAAATAGGAAGCTTGATTCAGCTGATTTTCAAGTTAGATTGCGGAAAATTAAAGCTCTGATACCATGTTGAAGAGTTTCAGTCTTAGTGCACAGAGGGAAATTTTGGGAAAAATTGCTTTATTGGTTCACTTTGTATCGTTATTGTACAAATGCTTTATATTACATTAAGATAAATTAACTCAACTAACTAGTTAACTAACTCAGGTTGTAACTAACTCAAGTAACCAACTAACTAATTGAACTGAAACTAAACTATATCAGTTAATTGATACAGTAAGTGAACTGATAAAGTTATAACAACTATTTAACATATTTGTTGCAATACTGGACGGTAGCAAGTCTACCATGTTCTTTGACTGGAAGGAAGAAAAACTCATAGGGGTCGTCTGGTAGGGGGTTAATGTGGGATTACTAGGTTATGTCATTTTATATTACTTGATAATCCCGTTTGATTGTCAAGTAATATAAGATTCCAGTAATCTTTAATAATATTGGAGGTAATACAATTATCTCAATTTTCTTAAATATTATAAGATTACCAAGTAATCTTTTTTTTTTTTTTTTTTTTTTGTTACAATTTTATCTCTTATTAATAAAATTTCAGGACAATAATGCCCTTATTTTTAAATTTATTTACATGAATGTTGTTTTTACTATTTCACCCCAATTATTTAACTTTTTAGACAAAATTACCCTTGAATTCAAAACAAATTGCAGCCCACCTAAGCGACCACCCCCACCCACCTGCCGCTGGCAACCACCGCCGCGGCTAGCAGCTGTTTTTGGAAAGGCGCACGGAAGGTTGAAAATGGTTGTCGTGCACCGATTTGGCCATTTTCGGCCAGCTATCTTTTTGGTTGTTGACGGCCAGATTGATGGTCGTTAATAACCAGATCTCTGGCCGAAAATGGCCATACAGAGCACGAAGGCCATTTCTTGCCTTCCGTGCACTGTTAGATTGCTGATTGCTGAAAACGGCCGGATCGTGCCAAAGATATGGCCGGAAAAGGTGATAACAACGCAAGCTTGCCCAAATCCGGTTGGCCTTGCATCGTTACGGTGCCGACGACCGACGATGGGTGGGTGGTGTGATGGTATTGGGTGGGCTGTAATTTATTATAAATACAAGGGTGTTAATGTCAAAAAACTTAACTAATCAAGGGTAAAATTGTAATGATAGATTTATGCAAATTAAATGTGTTATAAAGGTATTATTGTCTTAAAAATTTATTAATAAAAAATAAAATTATAATAAAAATAAGATCAAACGTAAATACGTAATTAGCTAATATAAGATGACTTACCCAAGCAAACGCAACCTTAATTTATTGGTAAACACATTTCTTCTTTCTTCTACTTTTCTGTTTCAAATCCGTTCTCTCTTTTTCTGTTCTCTTCCTCCTCCGTCTCTTTCTCCTCTTTCCTTCATCTCTTTCTCTTCCTTTATTTTCTTTCCTCCTCCCGAATCACATCCTCTAGTTGCCGCTGTTTGGCAACCAGATCTTGCCAGCCAGCCAGATCGCCAGGGTTCCGACTGAAGACTGAAGCTACTGAAGTTGTGAAGCCGTGAAGAGTGATCTTACGGGTGGAATTGATGATTGAAAATGGCCTCAACAACCCTTCCAATGGGTTGATTTGTGATGTTTTAAGGAATTTTCAATTGTGTTAGGGTTTGATTTGTGAGTTTCTGGTTTGATTTTGTTGAAGTCACGGGTGAAATTGATGATTGAAAATGGTTGACCAATTTTTCTTGAAGTTGGATTAGTGGTGGATTGATTTAGTTGTGAAGAAGATTGCCGATTTTGTGGAGGATTTGTTGGAGTAGGATCTGATTTTGTGGAGGTTTACAGATGGCCCTTTCTGTATCACGGTCTACTACCTTGTCAGAAGAAGATACGAGTAAGTAGTAGAAAATCAAATTAAATTTTCATAAGTAAATAAATAATAATAAAAAGTCTTCGGTATGTTTTTATTGCAGATGATTTCACGGATTACCAGCCACTATATGAAGCTATACTCCAGGGGAACCTGGAACATGTAAAAACAATCTGTGAAGACCCAAATAAACATGCGTTAGACGCCAGGATCTCGATACACTTGGACACAGCTCTTCATGTGGCTGTTGGGACAGGCAAGGCGCATCATATTGTGGAGTATCTATTGACTAAAATGTCAACAGATCAACTGGCAGTGACAAACACGGAGGGCAACACAGTCCTCTCCGTTGCTGCTATTGTTGGCAATGTCCAAGCAGCCAACATGATACTGATGAAAGTAGAACTTCTACAATTAATTCGAGTTAGAAACAATTCTGGCTGGATACCTTTGATTGAGGCTGCTCAGCATGGCCAAAAGGAGATGATTAAATATTTATTGCCATTTTGCGGAAACTTCTTGAAGCTTGTTTCTGTAACAGATTGGGAAGATGACAAGTCTGGTGTTTTTTTCGTAAATCTGCTCATAACTACTGGATTTTATGGTGAGTTAATTTTTTCTTTTGCTATTATTACTACTGCTTAATGAATAGACTTTAATGAGATAGCTGATACTTCTAAACAGATTTCAAATCCATGGCCAGTAAAATTCTCTGCTAGTAGTGCAAATTTCATTTTACTTTATTGATGCATATTTTTAGCCATTTTGTTGACGTAGAAATTTGAAATTAATAATCCTAAATTCCTGTCCATCATAATTGTGTCTCAGACTTGGCACTAGACGTGCTCGAAAAATATGAAAGTTTAGCTACAATGGAGTTATATGGTGGCGACTCCCCTCTGAGTAGAATAGCAGCAAAGCCATCGGCATTTTCAAGTGGAAGACGAAAAGAGCTAAAGGTTTGGCACTACTTGTACTTCTCTAAAGGTGAGCATACATTTCTTACACACTAATAAATCTTCTATCGCGTCCATCATCTCACATGTATCCCTATTACTTTTTTTTTATCCCTATTTTCTGGGTTCTAAATTTCTCTTACCTTTTCATGCATTAGTAAAAGTTATTTTTATTCTTCCAGTATTATTCCTACTCTGGAGATGAAGATATTTAATAGAGATATAATTAATTATGAAATGATAACACGTTGAAATTAAAGAAAATTAAAAACCATCAATCTTTTATAAAAAATTAAGAGCTAAGAAAATTTCAAAATTTTTGTTAAAACAATCCAGCTCTCGAGGGGCTGCTCTCTTTCTCTCCTTTTTATGCATGACGCTGGAAGGAATCCGAACTTTTACGTATGAAATTCTAGCATGTTTTCTTCTTCTGATTTACAATATATTTCTCGCTAGCTATATATATATTGATGTGTGTTTAATTTGCAGTTCCAAGTTATAGGAAGGAAATACGAGAAACAAGATTGATGCATCACAAAGCACTTCAACTTGTCAAATACTTGTGTGGGAAAATTAAAAGTAGTAAGCCAGACTATCATACAGCTAAACGGTTACTAAAACCACCGCTCCTTTTAGCGGCAGAATTGGGGGTTTGCGAAGTGGTGGAAGAGATTATAAAATCATATCCAGATGCAATCTGGTTTACAAATGAAAAGAATCATAGTGTATTCCACTTGGCAGTCTTGAAGCGTCAAGAAAAGGTATTCAAACTCATATTTCAGATGGGCGGTCAAAAACATTTGTTGTTGATGTCCCAAGATGTTGACGGAAATAATATCTTGCACTTAGCTGGAAAATTGGCTCTCAAATATCAGCTCCATCACATCCCTGGTGCAGCCTTACAGATGCAGCGTGAGTTACAGTGGTTCGAGGTACTATGACTTTTGTTATAAACATTATTTATGCATGTTAAGTACTTCAGTCTCTCCCCCAAGCCAAATGCATCCCATATCCATATGTATGCTAAAACTTCTTAACCTATAGCGATTAGTCTAAAAAGGAAACTGTTATTAGAAGTTCAATGTGTCATATTTTTTTAGTTATTTTATTATTAATATTTTTTCTACAGGAAGTGGAGAAAATTGTGAAGCCTAGTTACAAAGAGGATAAAAATTCTAAACAAGAAACTCCAGCAATGATATTTACTGAACAACACAAGAAACTCGTTGAAGACGGTGAGAAATGGATGAAAGTTACAGCAAACTCATGCTCAATAGCTGCGGCACTGATTGCCACTATAGTATTTGCAGCAGCAATCACTATACCTGGTGATTACGCTGATAACGGCGTACCAAATTTTTACAGAGAGGCAGCCTTCAAGATCTTTAGCATTTCAGATGCACTCTCTTTATCCTCATCAACTGCTGCCATCATAATGTTTTTGTCCATCCTTACGGCACGGTATGCAGAATATGATTTTCGTTATTCCCTACCCAAAAGGTTAATATGGGGTCTTTTTATGTTGTTCGTCTCTCTTATTACCCTGATGGTAGCGTTTTGTGCCATTGTTTTTCTGGTGTTTTGTGACCAAAAGGCAAATTGGTTATTTGGTTTAGTAGTGGGCTCAGCCTTGGTACCTGTGTTCATGTGCGCTGTTTCGCAGTTTCCCCTCTTATGGGAACTGTTCATTTCGACATATCGCCCAGGCATTTTCCGCAAGCAAGGCACACGAGTCCTCTACTAAGTGATGATAAGTGATAAAACATATTGAAATTAGTCTCTTTAGAGAGTGTGACTAGATAAGAAAAGATTTGCTCTATTATTTTGAATTCTACTGACATTGCTGTATTGCCATCTTCACATGGGCTGAACCTGAAATACATGAAACTGTTATTATCATGATCTAGTTCCGATTCTGAATTATCTTAATGCATAGGAGAGCAAATCAATAGAGAGAATGTTGAATCTGACAGAAAGCGCATTCTGTGTATCTACCACATGGATTGACAGATATCAATAATAGAACCACATGGAAATAAAGATTGATTATAAACCAATATAGTACAGGCTATGTATGAACAAGACTATTACTCCGGATGGTTTTAGGCCGCCGATATAGTTTCGAATTATTATAAGCATGGAATCTTTTATAATTTTGAATTATTTAGGCCGTTGATATATAAATTTTTATATACAAATTGATGCGGTGCAAAAGAATTGACGAGCACATGCAAAAAAGCAATTAAATTAATGTAGATAGATGATATTACAAGAATTGAGTTGTGTTCAGTTATTTTGTGGACAAGAATTTATATGTTCAGTTTGTACATATATTGACATGACTATTAATGTAACGTTCACAAGTCTTTCTTTAAAAATGAAATTGGTATTGTTTTATATAGAAAACATATATATTAATAGAAACTTAAATTTCACCTTGTTGATGCGTGATTTGTACACCAACCAAACGCACTGTGAAATGCTAAGTTAGCTCAAAAGACACATGTGGATAAAGGAATGAGAGTAAAAAGAGATGAACAACAGTATTTAAAGTGGTTCGGATGCTTTAAGGAAGCAAGTCCTACGTCCACTGATGTTGTATTAATGATGGCGAACAGGTCGCGGTCAGCAAGCTGACTTTACAAGTGATTACAAGAGAGAGAGAGAGAGAGAGCGTATATGCTATTTTTTTTAAGAGAGATTAGGTAATCCCTAAAATGAGAGAAGAACTCTCAATTTATAGTGGGATGGATTAAGTTAATGATTACTAAATCAATGATTTGGAGGGGTTATCTAGGCAAATCCTTCTTTATGTCCCATAGCCCACTTCCTAGAGTGATTTACGCAATTTGTTGCAGAGATTTGATGGGATTTTCATGTTGACTGGACCTTGCATCAGCCCTACTTTTTCAGGCATAACACACCCATAAAAGGTTAGCCAAACAGTCAGATTCACGGTTTGCTCTCACAAAGTCTAAGGTTTAAATCCTATCATGGACATCTATATAATCAAAGCTCATTATATAATCAAATTTATAATAAAATTGTTGAAGTTTTAGAAGATTATGAGGTTCTTGATAAAGTGATAAGTTTAACTTTAGATAATGCAAATGCTAATACTACAGCTATAGATTTTTTTAAATTAATTATCCTTTTTATAATAATTTAAAGTTTTCTCACCAACGTTGTGCATGTCATATCATTAATTTAATTGTGAAAAGTGGTATGAAAATAATTAAATAAAATATTGGTAGAATTAGGGAATCTTTAGCTTGGATTATTAGTAGTAATAAAAGAAATGTTGAATTTCAAGACGTTTGTATAAAATCAAATATGTCTCCTAGAACTTATGCATTAGACATACCTGTTAGATGAAATAGTACTTATTTAATGCTTGATTCATGTTTACCTTATGCTAATATAGTTAATTATTTTATAGCAAATAATAGAGGTCCTCACTATTTGGTAGAAAATGATTGGCAAATAGCTAAAATATTTTATTCTTTTCTTAAAATTTTTTACCAATCCACTTTACAACTCTCTGGTATGTATTATCCTACTAGTCCATTGGTAATACATACAATTATAAAAAGTTCCGAGTTATTTACAAAAAACAAAGACAATGAAATTTTAAATGCACCAATAAAGGCAATGGAAATTTTTTTTTTTGAAATATTGGAAACCTATTCTTTTTCGTTATTGTTTAGTTGCTATATTTGATCCTAGAATTAAATTAGCACGTTTAGAAAATGGTTTTGATAGTTTAAGTGAAAATTTACAAACCGAAGCATATGCCAATCAAATAGGAGAGGTAAAAAATAGTCTTTTCGAAGTATATTTCCAATATGAAAACAGGTATGGGAACCTACAAAGAGGCGAAATATCCAGGGAAGCTGCATCAGAAGAAACAAATGAAGACTTCTACTCTTGGAGCACACTGAATAGGCCGAAGAGGACCTGAATCCGAAGCACAACCTCCTCTTCAGAAGCACCACCACCAACAACAACAATAACAGCTAATATACTGTCCTCCATGGAGTCGCAGAGTAATGAACTTCAACAATATTTGGCAACCCCCGAAATGTTACCATCAGATCACTTTGATCTCTTAGAGTATTGGAGAGCCAGAAAATGTATTTTTCCGGTATTATCAATACTTGCCTTGGATGTTTTCACTGTTTTTATCTCAACCGTCTCATCCGAACAAACATTTAGTCTAAGTGGAAGAATTTTAAATGAAAGGAGGACTAAACTTTCTCCAAAAATGACTGAAGTCCTCACATGTCTTCGAGATTGGGAACAATTGCACCATCAAAATCAATACTAGGTTATCGACAATACTTTAATAAAATCATTTCAATTTTGTAATATTGATGATACAGATGAAGGAGGTCCTAGTGAACCACCCCCAAATCAGTTGTTTTGTAAAATGTAATTTATAAATTAATTGTCAATTATTGCACTCTTTTTTCTTTACCAAGTTTTTCTCCCATTGGATTTTTCTTGGTAAGGTTTTTAACGAGGCAATAATTGTTGTAATTTCTTATTTTATTTTTTGATAAATGAATAAATCTAATTTTTCTTATATTACAATTTTATTATATTAAAATTGAATTAATATTTGAAATGTTAACGAAAAAAATTAATTGAATTGAATTATTGATATTTGAAAAGTTAACTAAAAACAATTACATTTATACTTTATTCATTTATAAATTGTTAATTATTTATTTGAAAAGTTAAATAAATAAAACCAAAAAAAGAAAAAATCGGGCTAACCCGACGGGTTAGGGTTGGTGGGCCACCAAATTAACTAAAAACAATTACATTTATAATTTATTCATTTATAAATTTTTATGAAAACCACCGTAAACCGCCAATAATCACCATAAATCACCACAAAATCCCTGCCCATCCACTGCAAAAACCACCTTCAAACCAACCTTAAACCATCACAAAAATCATCTTACCATGGATACTCACAAAACCTCCGTCAAACACAGATAAAAAAATTAAGAAGAAAACTCACAATCAAACTCCCAAAGACTAACGAAATGACCAAGCAAATTTCTTGTGGCAGCCATAGGAGCCGGGAGCTGCTCTTAGTAGTGCCGCCACGCAGGTCACGGCCTCCAGGTAAGCTCTTCGCTTCAGCACGCGAGCTGTTGAAATTTCATTCTAATTAGCTGAAACTGAAGATTGGTTGGGTTTCTCGGTTTAGATTACAACTTGAGTGTTCAGTATTTAAGCATGAAATGCACCTCCGGTTCTATGATGGATAATAAGTTTTCTTGTATTTTTTTGCATGGATCAATTATGGGCAGATGTTGAAATATGGGGTTGTTCGAATGCATGACTTAGTACAGGAAATAATGAACTGGGAAAGATGTTATTTGAGTGGTCGTCTACAGAAACCGGTGTGCCTTCCTGATTTTTCCATTTTTTTCTCCTATGTTTCTTCGTTTAACTGTATTATGCAATCGACATTTCTTCCAAGCTGGCTGAAGATCTTGTCTATTTTATTGGTTTTCGAATTGAGAGCTTTAAAAGGTTTTAGACATAAGTAAATGTGTTAAACCCACAGTGAAAATTGCTGTGCCACAGTAATCCTGTCTTTCCTCAGTTATTTAGTGCTCAGTACCTAGCAGATTCAACCCTGGATTAACAATTTTTTTTCTTTTAATAATCTGCTTGTTTTATCTTTATCTGACTATGTAGGAACAGGACTACAATAACATCTACATGGATAAATTGCTAGACGTCATGCCAACTATTCATTATAAACCACCAATCATTGTTAGTAGCTAAGATATAGTAGGCTGCCTGGCTGCCAATTGTAATGTTACAAAAATGTACTGATTGACAAACAAGTGTGGTTCATAGGTGTTCTGTCTGAAAAAGTAGGGCTGACACAGAGTACTGTCAGTGTAAGTGGTCAGAGCTTAGGTAAGTCCAGCAGCCATTCAGATGCAGCCACATCGTATACTGACGAGAGCGGCATGCTCCTATCAGTGCAGTGGGTGCGCGCTAGATTGACGAAATGCTGGAGATGGTCCACATGTCCAATCCCTGCATAAACAGAGGAAATCACTCGAACAAATGAGCAATGAGACACAAAGAAGGATTTGCACGGTATCTGTCCCCTTTTTACAGATTCAGTAATCATTGCCTTAATTCATCCCACTATAAATAGAGGGTTGCTCTCCCGTTTGTGGGATTAACTAATTTCACTCTGGAATTGCTCTCTTGTATTCTTGTACTCTCTAAACTATAAATTAGCTCGCCAAAAGTAACTTGATCTTATACTTTAATATAATATCAGTGGACGTAGGTTTAACTTGTTCAAGCATCCGAACCACTTTAAACATTGTCCTTCATCCTTTATTCAATCCATTATCTCCTTATTCACGTGTGTCTTCTGAGTCAGCTCAGTATTTCACGTGTGTCTTCTGAGTCAGCTCAGTATTTCACATGTGCGAGTCTTTGGTGTCAAAATCAAGTATCAACAATAGGTTCCTTAGATTTCATTTGATGTGTGATCACATCAATGGCAGGAGAATATTTTATTTTTAGCTGATTATCCTTAATTCCTCTTCTCCTGAACGGTGTTTTTCATAGCTGCCTTCTACTTTCTTTGCTCTGCTTTTACTGCTTAATTATTACCTGAGATGGAAAATTTGAGGTTGTCATCTCATATATAATATGTTACTCATATACCAATCTTAGGGAGTTCAAATGTTGCTCTTGCAGGTACACATACTTGTGGATAATCTGGATACTGCAAATACAAACTCTGTTAATTTGAGGGCTGCATTGTCTGCTGCTCCCCTCTTCCATGTCACTTTTCATTCATTTTATAGTTGCTGGAGTTATGATTAGGTCTTTGATTGTGCAGGAAGATCTCTTTGCCAAAATATGTAGCCTTTCATATATGGGAGATTTGCGTGTGCTTGTTGCAGAGAATAATGATCACACCTAAATAAAAATATTGAGAAAATTGATTTGGGGCTTTCAAATGTGCATAGTTCATGGTTGACGTTTTCATGTTGTGAATTTTTCTGGAGTGGAGGTTAAAACTGAAGTTTTATTAAACCACCAAAAAATAAAAAAAATAAAAAAATAAAAAAATTTGTTTGTCTTTATGGAGATAGTCATATCCGATCGGTGAGAAATTTGCCGTTCATTGGAGGTATGCAATAATAAATGGTGATCATTAAAAAGTCATACAAATAATTCGTTGATGGGTGTGAGAAGACCAACTTTTGCTAGAGTCCCTCTCTTCCTCCCTCTGTTTTGCTCCATCTATATATTAAATTTGCGTTAATAATAAGAGCTATACAGAAAAGAATAAGCATTTTTTTTTTTTTTCTAAGAAAGATTCTGGTTTTCATGTATAAAATTTACCTCAGGTAAAGAAGATTGTGCAAGGGCAGTTTGATTTTTTCCGCTCAATTTGTAAGCCATTTCTTCAAGAATATTTGGCCAAAGACTTCTTGAGAGTCACATCATCTGGAAGTCACCAAGCAAATATATCACAGGTTTGTAAAATTCGACCTTTATTAGTACCCAAATACTTGATTATGTATTGGCCTCATACCAAATATGACATATATATGTAAAATTTAGGTTAACCTCTATTTACTTATGTTACTTATAATCAATTCTTGAGACGGGTCTGTATGGATCTAACTGGTTTTTAATTTTTGGAATTTAGATTTCTCCATTGTCGGTTCAATGTTCCATTGTTTATACACAATATATTTGTTCTGGTGAAAGTAAATTCTTTTTCATGAAAAAAGTTCTAAAAATTTGTTTTATTAAGTAAACTGTTGTTTAACGCTTTGTTTCTTGTCATCTTATGCTTTGAAGCGCTGAGTTCTACATGTTTCTGTCGCTTGAATCAGGCTTGTGGCTTGCTAGTCACTAGTCCACCAGAATTAGAATCAATGGGCAGTGTATACTATGGTTCGTAGTGTATGCCAATAACGGCTATTGGTTTAATTAATTTTATCCTTGGATTGGTATGTTATGAACCATATGTAAAACCTATGACTGAGAAAATATTTAACTTAAAATTTTGCATAGAAGGCAGCATGAAGTTGAAATAAATTAATTTCTCTCAAAGCAATTACCAATATTGAAGGGTATTCTGAACAACATTATACGCTAGGGTATTTAAACAATTTACCAGACTTATTTCGAAGGTACTGAAGATACTTTTACACATACCTGATCATTCATTATTCCAGTCTGTCAATAGATTGCGAAATAAATTCAACTTGCTATATCACGGATAGGAAGTTGCAAGCTACTAAAAAACTGCATTCTGGATAAACAATGGATGACACAATAGAACAAAATTTAATTGGGAAACATTCTAAAACATTATTCAGTAGAAAACATGATTGACATCAATCAAGTCAAAAAAAAAAAAAAAGCAGGAATCGGAATTGAAACCTTTTCACTTGTTGACGACTTTGACAAATCTCTAAGAAATCTGCAACAGTTGAACAGCAACAAATTACACATCGAACCAACAACACAAACATGAATCCAAAAATATTTAAATATACTATGGTTGTAGTGTTATCATAATACGGCTATTGGTTTATTAATTTTATCCTTGGATTGGTAATGTTATGAACCATTAGGTAAAACCTATGACTGAGAAAATATTTAACTTAAAATTTGCATAGAAGGCAGCATGAAGTTAGAATAAATTAATTTCTCTCAAAGCAATTACCAATATTGAAGGGTATTCTGCAACATATACGCTAGGGTATTTAAACAATTTACCAGACTTATATCGAAGGTAATGAGAGATACTTTTACACATACCTGATCATTCATTATTCCAGTCTGTCATTTGATTAAGCTTTCCTCAGGGTGGGACAATTTTGTATCATCAATTCGCTAAGGTTGAAGAGGTTCAGTATCCCATCTGGCAGAGATGACAGTCCTTGGCAGCTTACAATCAAGTTTTTGAAGCGCTGTGAGATTTACAAGCCATGCTGGTAATTCTGTACTTAGGACATGGTCATCCGCAGATACTCTAAATGTTAGCAGATCCTTCAAGAATCATTTGGGGTAAGTCTTCTAGTCCTTCTAAATCATAAATTATGAAAACTTTAAGGTTCAGACGGAAGTCTTTCCCTTGCAAGCCCATCTGCAGATTAACTGTCAGACAACTGTATATAACAAACTTCTCCAACCTCTTAAGATGTTGTATATCATCTAGCAATGAGTTCATGCTATCACAGCCTTTCAAAATCAAAGTTCGGAGGCTGGTGAGACTTTGCACCACTTCAGAAATACTTTCCAGATGGTGATAGTTATACAAGTGCAGATATCGTAGGGAACTGAAACATTCAACTCCAATTTGTGGTAGATGCCTATCTGTTGTAGTCATTTCCAAATATCTGAGGCCGATCATTTTTCCCATATTATTAGGAAAATTCTTAAGCCTTGAACAACCAAGAAGTCTTAAGATCTGCAAACTCCGAAGTTTACAAATACCTGCACAGAGTTTCTTCAGAATTAAATTCCAAGATAAGTCAAGACATGTCAAATGTTTCAATGCACCGACAGAATCTGGTAGCACTTCAAATTGTAGACCACTCAAGCACAACAACCTGACGTATTTAAAATTTGATGTCCATGTGTTAACAAAGGATTCAGAAACCTGCTCAAATTGAATACTTTGCATATTGATGGTCCGCAACTTGTTCGAACTGAATGAAACATTTGGAATACAATTTTCACAGCCAATAAATGACAAATGTCGAGCATTTATGGAACGATAATGGATTCTGAGATCTATCACCTTGCACTCACTTTGTGCCACTTCCTTGACAAGATCATGAACGAAGTTATACATTTTAAATGTAAAATAATTACCATGAATTTTAATATCATGAAAGAAACACCTAAAAATCAATTCCTTTAAATATTGCAATCCAACATTTTCCAACTCTTCATTTTCATGGTAAGTTGCAACAAAAAGTGCAATATTTCTTACCAAATGTTTGCTCGTCTTGGATAATGTGCTGAATGAAAATAAAAAGAAATGGGTTTCATCTACCCTTTTGTCGCAATACACCAGAGTTGCAAGAGTGGTTTTTCCCATACTAGCAGTTCCAACTATAGGAATTACAGATACCCTTTCATCTTCTCTGTTTGGTTCCATCAAAAAGTGTACAATATTTTCCTTATCTTCGTCTCTCCTAAAAAATTTGGAAGTACCCAGAAAGGAATTGTTCATCCCCATCTCTCCTGAATAAACACGCCTAAATTCTTGCTGATTCTCATCATATATAGACCTAATAGCAGCTGCTTTTTCATCTAATTTTTTCCTAATATCCTTGATTTTTCCATAATATATGATAGCACTGAGTTTGCTTACCTGTTTCGCCAGTACTTCACACTTCAATTCATCCAACACATCCTCAGCGTCATACAACAGTTCTGAAAGCTTTTCAAGCCCAATCTGCAGCTTGCAGTTTTGTGCCTGTTGTGCCTCAGCGTTCAATACTGCGTCTTTGACATCGCACAAGATTTGTTTGTCCTTCGTTATTTCTTTTCGAACCCTCGACGACAAGCGTATTTCTGCGAAAGCAAGAAAATCCATCTTCGTCAAAATGTTTGCTGCAATGGTGGACGGAAATGATTCTGCCATGTTCTTTGAGAGGAAGGAAAGATCGGGATAAATGAATTAGCTGATAAGTGAGGACTGATGATTTGATTTTTTGATTATGTATTAGTTGACTTTTTGTCAACGGCCGGTTTACTGAAAGAAGACAACTTGCCTTATCAGCTCCAGCGGCCGAGTCGCTTGCCTTGTGGATTATCATATCCCAACAATGTTACCAGCATAGCAAGCGTAAACACCATTTACCCACCTAAGGTTTGGCGAATTACATTTTCCGCTCATAGTTTCATAAATTCTAGATTCCCACCTTTAAATTAATAGACAATCGTTTAATTTAATTGTTAAAAGGTAAAATGGTTAGCACACAACTGTCCCACCTCTCTCTCTCCCTCCTTTCACTCCTTCCTTTCTCTCCTAGACTTTAGCTGGATTTTAGTCAGATTTTGCACCAAAATTGGCGTTGATTAAACCACCTGACTCCATCATCATCTTCCTCTCACCATCCTCTTCAAAAACCCCACCAGCACTACCACCAATAGTTGTCATTTCCACTTTTCGTGAGTACATCTCTCCATCGCGACACGCTCGTAAGTTTGTTGTGTTTGTGCTACGTCCACCATCCATTATCCACCGCCAACATCAAGCTTCTCTCTTCTCCCTTGACACACCAATAACCATCTCAAGTCGCACAGGTTGTCATTTCCTACTCACGGTCGTCTTTCATTTTCTAGATTTGTGAGTGGGTGGTGGGTTGTGGTTGAATTTGTGAGTAATTTGGTGGTTGTTGTTTGGTGGCGGCGGGGTTGACTTTGGGGTTTAGAGGGATTGCAATGGTGGTGGATGGGTGGAATGGTGGTTGGCTCAGTTTGTGGTTGTTTTTGGATGGGTTTGTATGTGGTTTTGTAGCTGAGTTTGTGGAGGTTTTTTAGGTGGGTTTGTGGCTGAATTTGTGAGTGATTTGGTAATGGTTGTTTGGTTGAGGCTCATTTTGGGGTTTACAGGGATTGTGATGGTGGTGAATTTGGGGTTTTGGTCATGATAGTGGTGGTGGGTGGTGATGGTGGTGGTTGGATGGTGATGATGATGGTGATGGTGGTTGGGTGGTGGTGTAATCAAAAGTAAGGGAAGTATGGTAATAATAACTAGGGGTGTTCAAAAGAACCTATTGAAACCGGAACCTACGAGTACTTGGGGTTTGGTTCCGGTTTCTACCTAAAACCAACAGTCGACGGGTAGGTTCCGGTTCCAAATTTTTGGAACCATTACTGTACGGTTCTGATTCCAATTCCTATAGTTAGGAATCGGAACCAAGAACCAGAAACCAGGAATCGAGACTAATATAAAATAAAATTAAAGATTAGGGGGGTTAATAAAAACTTTTATAGAAAAAGTAATGTGAATACATTTATATTTATATTCCATAACATTTAAAGTAAGTTGGTTTGACTTTTGAGAATCTACCTTTACAAAGTAATGGAGTTTGTAATTTTGAATACATTTATATTTATATTTCATAACATTTAAAGTAAGTTGGTTTGACTTTTGAGAATCTACCTTTACAAAGTAATGGAGTTTGTAATTTTGAATTTATAATTTGTAATTTTATTTTTGTTAACAAGTGCCAAGTGGGGGGTATTTGTAAGTTTTTAGGGATTTTTTGTTATTTTAAAACTTTTGGGGGGTCCTTGTAATTTTATAGGGTACCTAGAACCGGAACCAGAACTATTGTTATAGGTTCTGGTTCTGTGTACCTAGGAACCGGAACCGTCGGTTCTGGTTCTGGTTCCAAATTTGAAGGAACCGTCGGTTCCAGTTCCTTCAAATAGTGCAGGGTACTCGGAACTGAACACCCCTAGTAATAACATTGTTTGCAACTGTGTTAGATGTCAAAATTCATTACTAGCGTTAATTTAAAGGTAAAAATCTATAATTTATGAAACCACAGGTGAAAACTTGCAGATTCACCAAACCTTGGGTGGGATGTGTCGTTTACTCAACATAGCAATAACTTTACCTACCACATTGAGACTTATGTGATTCTTTGGGCTTGTAAAATATTTAATAGATTCTAGAGATTATTTAAAATGCACACAAATAGCCTAGATATCCCAATTAACAAATAATAATAATAATAATAACTTCCATATAGTCCTTAAGTCAAGGGTGTCATATACAAACTTATTAATTAAAATTAGTATAAACATAATTAATAATACATGTACAAACTTATTAATTTAATTTGACGATTATAACACAAGATATACCCGATTTCTCTCACATTTTATTTTATTTTATTTCTTACACATTTTTCTTTTTCTTAGGTATACATTTATTTTTTATAAAAATTATTCAATATGACATAATAATTTACATTTACTTCATACAGAATAAATTTTATTAACAATAATTTAAAATCTTTTATAAAACAAAATGTATTGTAAAAGGATCAAGATGGAAGTTCCAAGGGCAGAACCAAACAAGCAATGACACGCATAGCCTAGATAAAAATCTTTGAGTAAACAACATATTCCCACAATCCCACCCAAAGTTATCGAAGTAATAGTCAAGGAGTAAAATAGTCATTGAACCCAGTACATTCCAAACTAGTAACCACCACCACAATCGTCCCACCCCATTCTTCTACTTTTTCATCTCCCCCTCCTCCTCCCATCTTCATCTTCTTCATTACAACCCCCCACCCCGACCACGGCGTCGGCCGCAACCGTCTTCATCTTCTTCATCATCCTTCAACACATGCATCCTTCAATAAAAGCTCCTGTTATGCCTGGGAAATCAAGGGCTGACGTGGGAAGTCACGTGATGAAGTATGACTTGCTTCCATCAGAACGGTAAACGCACATCAGGCCTGGCAGAGGCTATGGAGCTCCCACGTGTCCATCTCCCTGCTCCAAATCGCGTGAAATCAGCTTGGGAAGTGGGCAATGTGATGTAAAGCCGGATTATGTCCTGACATTCACACCAACCCATGGATTTAATGATGATTACTTGCATTCATCTCGATATAAAAAGAGGAAGACCCCTTCATTAGGGGGATTCGGCTATTTTTTACACTGGAACTCTCTCTCTTTAGAAAACTTTGTATTTATTTTTCCTAATCATTTGTAAGTCAGTCCGCTGTTGCGACCTGACCCACTACTGTAATACAAATCAGTGGACGTAGGACTTGCTACCTTAGCATCCGAACCACTTTAAATAGCTCTCATTGTGTTTACTCTACTTGCTATCCATAATCACGTGTGTCTCTTGACCAATCAACGTTACGCACGTGTTGATTAGTTGGTGTCA